TTCTGGCAGTGTTGCACTGAAGCCCTGCCCAAGGTGGGGGCCACAGTAGACACATGATAGAGACAGTGTCTGTCAAGAGAATTTTGCAGTCTAAATTATGGGATTTTCCCATCATTCAGTTTGAACAACTTGGCCCCTTCTCTCCTGGAGCCAATGCAGGCCTTTCCATTAACCACGTGTCTCAACATTTTAAGTTGTATACAGCAAAGCAATATACGACAGGGAAGCTAAGAATGTGCTTGTACTGGTTATATTCCTTTTCCCGGAAAAACCTGTACAACTGAATGAAAAACATTCTTTGGAGAAAATCCCTGCCCCTCAAGGGTGGACAGAGGAGATGACTTCATTGGGGCTGTTCTCCTTCTAATTTGTCTGAGTCTCTGGCCACACAACTATACATTTTTTCGGCACGCTGAGGTCTGCTGGGCTGCTGGTATTTCCTCCTCCTCATTTGCATGGTCTTCCCATAATCGAGCCCTGAGACAAGCTGAACTGCACAAGGACTCCCTGCCAGCGCCACTCGGGGCTCGCTCACAGAAGACCTCTGGAGAGCGATGGGAGGTGCTCCCTGCCCTTCTCCTCTGCCTATGAAAGGGCTAAGTGTGCTACTTCTGCAGCACTGAGCATTCCCGCTAGCCCATAAATCAAGTGATCAAACTCCAGTCCAATCTCTGATCCACTGCAGAAAAACCCCACACTCTGCCCTGACAGCACATGCAGGGCAAAAGAGCTGTATTTCATCAACCGGAGCCTTAATATTAGAGGAGAGTCGTTACCTCCCGGAAAAATAAGTGTAGCCAGAGTCTTACTGGTTCTGCAGCTTGGTTCCTCCTGTTTACACCAAATGACTTGTTGAACTTCATTATATACAAAGTATTTCCATAGATCAGAGGCAGGGAGACCTGTGCAGCTAACATAAAATAAATTACCACCCTGTGATAAATGGTTCTATTAGCAATCCAGATTGTTAAACTCAGATACAACAGGATGAAGGGAGCACTGCCCCATTCATTCTCCCTGCGGCAGATACTGAGTTGTAAATAGGTTATTTTGTGTGTAAATAACACATTAAAACTCAGCATTAGCTGTGTCTTTTGATAGAGAGGAAATTGTTCCAAATAAATAATCTCGGACAGGAATGTAAAATAAGCCAGATTTAATAGTGCATGCCTGCTGCAGCCGTGTTAAACATGACTAAAATGATAAACCCCAGAATATACTAATAGTAAACTATACTCTGACATCAAAGTAATGAGGCTATATTTTTACCCAGCTTTAGAAATGCTAAAATTAGTCTTGACAGAGCCAGACATCAGAAAAATGTTTCAAACATAAACACCATCAATTTGAGAACTTGGTGTTTGTGTCATGTGAAGGGTGGAGTGGAAAGAGAAAGGTGCATTCTGGGCCTTGTTAAAGTCAGGCAGTTAGCATTTAGGAGAATTTGTATTTAATTTTTATTACAAGATGAGAAACGCATCTTCCTAAATATCTTCGCTTTTGAAAGAGTGGCTCTTTTACAGTCACTTGCCTGGGCTTCCTCACGCGTGCTGACGCGGAGGCTGTCACAGTGCTAGCCTGGAGGACGCATCCTGGTCTCACTCACGTGGTGCTCTGCTCCAAAGTCTCCTACCCTGTGCAGCAATACGCACTTTTGCATTCAGCAAGGGAGTTTTCTAAACATGAATTGTTATGAGTTGTCCTTCCAGAAGTGGAGACACAAAAAGTAAGAGGCTCTTCTGCAGATTTGTCTCATCTACAGCTCCTACGTACTGCCATTAAAGCCAGTTTCCATCTCTTTCACACATACACAGGTGCACCTACTGAAACAGGAGAGAGGAGCTTTGACTTCTTGGCCAGTATGATTTATGGAAAAATAGAAAATTAGGAGAGACTTCCCTGATGTCATTTGTAGGAGGCCAATTTCTTAACTTCTGATCAATGAGTTATTACCAAAAAAGTCAGAGATGTCTGAAATGGCAGCTTCAGTAGACTGAAAATACGAGATGCAGTTTATTAGTACATGAGGACTCTTCTTCATTGACAGCATCAACAATACCAATCTCTTTTCCTACAGTCATTAACTTAATTTATTCAAGGCTGGAAACACATGGGACAAATACCCAAAGCAAAGGAAATAGGAAATGGAGACTGGACATACTATTACCTTATAATAATATAGTCAGTAACATAATAAAATAGCTATTCTTCAATTATTTAACTAATAATTCAATTACCTTAATTATAAATAAAATCTTATGAATCTATCCATTTCTACAATGGAAAAAAAATAACATCAAAAAACCCTTATGATCTGAGAAATATGCTATTTTGGCACTCCATCTGTGTGACTCAGTAGAATAAAGGAGAAGAAATGTGTTGCAAATTACGTTTGTTTGGCTCTGGCGAGCAGCTTAGTGATCTGCAGCGCTAGCTGAGCCTTGCTGCCACTTTCTCACATGCTAGTACAAAGACTAAAACCTCTACAATAAACAAAATCAGGAGTTTGTCTTGGATGAGAATAAAGACTTGTTCGTATGGCCCCAAAGCAGGGTGGAGAGCTCAGAAGTCCTCTCTTTAAAGCTGTTCCCCTCCTCAAGCTGAACAACATAATTAATCTCCATGCCTCATTTGCTTTCTTCTGTAAGAATATGAGCATAAATATGTATATTTCTGGCCTGTTATAAGTAATTACACTAGTTTAGCGAATCAAATATGTTATATTAGCATGAATACCACGTAAGTACAGTCTCTACCCAGCCTTTTCGTTATCATCTGCTAAATCACACCTTGCAGTTAACTGATGTAAGAAGATGACTTTGTATTAATTTCTTCTACTTACAAGCACACGCACCATGCTGCTCCCTTTCAGGAGCATGTATTATGCCTAGCCAGAATTCAAAGGAAAGCCCTCCGAACCACACGAGCACGTGCATCACCTGCAGAGTCCCGGGGCCGGCGTCCGATCACACGCTGCTTCACTGCTAGGCATTTTAGGTCATTTATGAGCACTTCTCTTCACAGCACGACATAGATTTTGCTCTTTACATCTCATTACACAATGCTTTCATCACAATTCTCCCGACATCTTCAAACAATCCTCCACTTACTTCTCCACTTCCTCTTAATAAAAGGAGAAATATTGAGCCCGTAAATCATTCTTTCCAAAGGCGAAAGCACACTGCTAACAGGACATATAACACTGAGCGCTTAAAAAACAATCCAGTCTCCGGGGGCGCCAAATGGGCCGATGGCCATTCCACCTCGGAGGCATCCTTACTTCTACCTTATCTCTGGAAATGTGGTGTCTGCTTCCTTGGTGGAGGCATTCCCAAGGCAAGTGCCAAGTGGGGAGAAGGCGTTTACTCATAACAACCCTTCTGTGGGTTCAAATTTTAGCACATGCTTGGACTTTGTTGGCACCAATCAGCCCTTTAGAGCTGCCAGTCACTGAGATGTTTTGAGTTGTTCCTACAGCCTGTGCTTCTTCAACATAAAAATCTGCTGGGGGATGGCAAACTTCTGCATGTTGCTGTCTCTGCCTTGTCCCTACTTCTGCCACCCAGCAAGCCCTCCTTTATGCCACTTTGTGTGGTGCTCACAAGGAAGGTGGCTCAGATCCCATTCAGTGGCAAGAAGCTGTGTTTCCCTCCAAACAACTCTAGATTTTCTAGGTCTTTTTAAGAACAGCTTTCCTGTGGCTAACAAAAGCTAACAGAGTTTGTCAAAGACATGAACTGATCTGATAGATTATAGTCTAGCAGCTGCTATTTTATTCCACATACTCAAATCTTCCCGTGTCAGTGTGGAAACGAACGCTGAGTAACAAAGGTGTTGAAAAGGAAGGATAGATTAAGCAGATTAAAGCAATTTGGGCAGGGAACTATCTTCCAAACTCAGCCAGCAGAAAATACAAACTCTCCAGCCGAGCTGGAACAGAGAAGCCTGCAGAGAAGTTGCGCTGCTTTCCTGGGGTGATGAGAAACCGCTCTGCAGTGAAGAAAGGGGAGATTTTGGGGTAAATTCTGGCTAGCAATAAGGTATATTTTAAAGAAGAAAAAAAAGCCGCCTGCAAAGTTTACACAGTTGGGATGTCTCTTGTTTGTCTCCTTACATTACACCCTGTCCAGAAAGTGCCCCTGGAGGAAGGACGGTCTTGCTCACAGCTGGAGCCACCAGGAAGGGCCCTTGCATCAGGTTGGAGATTCACCAGCACGTGTGTGACAGAGAGGAATGTGCTTTCTGGGGGTGTATTTTGCCTGCTGTATCAGGCAGGAGCAACACTCATGCAAGTCCCTGCACGTACCAGTGTCAGACCCACCAAAAATGACCCCTTGCCCACGGGTGCCCATGAGAGCTTCCTAACAGATTTCAACACCAGCAGGACGAAAATCTTGCCAAAAACACTCACGGAAAAAGAAATCGGGACCTAAGCAATTTCTGGCATTAACAGGAATGGCACAAGTGGGAGGATTTCTTTGAGAACCTCTTGCACTGGGGCTGGACAATCCCAAATTCCTCCCTGACCATGAAATCCCAGCAGCAACAACTGGAGATGGTGCAGTCTGTTTAGCTCATTAGCAGGATCACAGCCAGCACACACAACAGACCATGATAACAGGGTGCTTTCCCAGCTCCAGCCACCCTTTAACCCCTCTGTGGAGGAGCAGCAGGCACCATGCTGCCCACACCACGCAGCACCAGTCAGCCAGCATCAAGCAGTGATGAGATGCCTCAACTCTCTGACAGGCATCTTTTGCCACCTGTCCTCTCCCTCACCCCAGCCCAGATCGTTGGGAGCAGCGGTGACTTGTCACGGCGCAGTGACATTTGGATGCCGTGTGGTGACACAGTTTCCCATTCCTGTGACCTCCGGTGGCCAAGAACCCCAATAAACCCAGTATGTTCACAGGAGGACAGATGTCACTGTACTTATTAAATTCTTACAGTCTAATGAAAAACACCCCTGCTGCTTTCAAATTGAGGAAAACATAAAGTACCTCCTTGTGCCACTGCTGCTCCTGCAGCTGCTAAAGGAGTGGGTTTCTTCCCCGTCTCCGTAAAGTCATTCCCCTCCAGAACTGCACCTTTCCCTTCTTTTTTCCCAGCAGCAGTTGAAGCAGAGGTTTCCATCTTAGACGTGCATCTTCCAGCTCAGCAACCCTACAGGACATAAAACAAAACCAGATTCTGGTCACCACTCAAAAAAACAGGCAAAATCAGCTCCACTAGGAAGCAGCCGATGGTTTGGCAGAGCTCAAAAGTAAATGGTGAGCCCCAAAGGTTTCCCGGGTTTCTAACTCTGGCGATGCAGTCAGTACAGCAGCCACGGGCAAAAAGGGCGTAGCCCTGCAAAGGGATGGGTATTTTCACACCCCACTGGCCTCAAGCGGTTGAAAATCTAAAAGGATCAGGTCTAAACCACAACTTTTCCACACTTAAACTTGTGCACATAATAAAGCTTACATGTCCAAAGGGCTTTCCCAGATTAAAGGATAGGTGATGTGCAAAAATTTTGCATGTATAAAACCAAGCCATCCATCCTACGTAACCTGACCCATCAAAACAAAAAAACTGCATCAGCTAAAAACTTCCAAAAAGCATATATAAATAGATATTTAAGGTGTTTGGTGGGTTTTGGTTTTGTTTTCCCAGTTGGTGCTTATTCTGTGCGCTGGTTCTGAACCAGTGCCCTGACCAGTACATTCCAACAGTGCTTAACAGATAAGCCACAGCAGGTCTGCCAGAGCCAATCCAGCTCTCCCTGGTGATTCCTCTCTCTCCCAAGCAAGTTATTCTATCCTGACCATTCGTATCTGAAAATCGGCTACAGCTTTACTCCCGTTACAAATAGTGAATTAAGAATTAGTGAAAGCTCCACAGAATAAGATACCAAAGCACAAATAACCTGTTATTTTAAACTTAGGTTCCTGAATAATAAAAGCTCCTGAACTTTTTGTTAGCTTCATCAGTTGCTCTGCACGCCTTAAACTGAATTGTTTTCCCAGAAGCAAACATATAGGTATCCCAAATTTAATGTAAAAATGGAGCTCCTCTCAAATGAGGAGGCATGCTTCATTTCTGACTGCAAATACTTTTGTTCGTCCCGTTTTAACTTGTTTCATTTCAACTATCTCCACGTGACTCCTTTTTTTCCACAGAATCCACACAGTTACCTGGCACTACTGACCTCAGGCTGGTCTCGGGAAAACCCACGGCTAATTCCTCCTTCCCTTTCTAATTTTAATGCAGATCTGCAATTTTTCACATGCAAATTTTCAGATGCAAATTTTTCAGCTCCTGAGTTACTGTGGAGCACACTGGCTGTTTCCCTTACTGGAATTGATAGGATCAGCCAAAAAAACTTAACGGGAAAACAGAAAATGTTTTTGCGTGTGCTCAAACAGAAAATGTTTTTGCGTGTGCTCGCAGCTTTACTGCCGTTGTGTCAGCTCAAACTTCCCCTTCACTGGAAACCTTCCCTTCACTCTGGAGGATTAACCAACTCCTTGGGTTAAAAAATTAACTCTCCTAAAAACTTGAAAGCACATAAAGATTTCAGGAACTCCCATGTGTGACACATAGCTTTTAGCCTTTAGTTGTTCATGATGCTGGTGTAAGTACTTCATCTTGTGATTATTTTTCCCCCATTTTGCTACGTTGCTGGTTTTCTAGCAGTTTTTGTGCTGTAACTTCAGGAGAGACAAATAGGAAAGCAAAGACCCTCTTTCCCCCGTACACGGTGAGCTCCGTGGCTCAGCACAGCCAGCACACAGCCCTGTGCTCCCAGACTCCCTGGTACCCACTACGTTGCACCACAGTTCAAAGCAAGCTATCCTGAGCTACCTCCATCCTCTGAGCTACTTGAAAACTTTCCTACAAATATAGAGCCACTCTTGCTGGCACCCCAGAGGGACCTGGCACCTGAGAGTTGTGGTCCTCCAGTACTGTCACCTCCGCCCAGGCTCCAGCTGGATGGTGGCCCACCAAGAAGCTCTGTGCTGCAGCCCGAGCAGCATATTGTGGGAGCCTTCAGGCACATCTTGCATTAATAGGACGACTAAGTGATGGATCTGCAGTCACGATTTGCAGCTGTAAAGAGCGAAGCTTGCATTAGAAATGACGGGACCCACAATTACAGGCTTTACTGATGACACAAAGCTCCACTGAATACTGAGGTGGCCCCTCCAGGTCCTGCCCCGGCATGTGCTGGGCTTGATGGCAAACATGGGATGGGTTCCTGGGGGCCAGGGCTTTACAGCAGTTTAATCCAGAAATCAGGTTGGATTACAGACCACGTATGAAATAAATACACTCAAACTGGAGGAGTATTTGACCTAGGTCTGACAGCCGGGGCTTCTGTTCATTAAGCAAATAAACTTCAGAGGCTCTATTACTAGCCCCCCACCTGTTTCTTCTTAGTCCCCCCTTTCAAGCCTTTGCACTTTTGTTTGAAACCAGACGCTCGCCCTTGCACCCCTCCCAGCCTCCTCCCTCCCCGCTTACCCTGACCCCTGGGGCAGCCTCATGTGTGAGGGAGCTTCCTTGGAGGGCTACAGAGCACAGCAGCCAGGGAGGGCAGGCAAGAAATGAGTAATAGGAATTGTTCTCCTGTGAAACATCCAGGTTAGAACCATGCTTTTTTCTCCAGAGATATGCCTGAAGTGAGAAGTCCAAATCTCTGCCACAGCACCTCACCAGGGATGCAGTTTTTCAGACGTGCCATCTATCCAACTGGAATATGACAAGAGATCAGGCCCATATTTGAAAATCTGGCCTTTGTAGCTGTATGCTCTCTTTTCAAATTAATTACAGATTTTTTTTAAAAACAAAAATCAAGTGTTTCTAATCAATGGAAGGTAAATCCTCCTCAAATACTGGATTACAGAATAAAAGGGGGAAAAAAAGAGAAAGCAACTACTCTAATCTTACAGGATTTAGGGTAATAAACGTATAATTATTTTTGCTTCATGAAGGTGCTTGGGGCAGAGCAGGCTGGGTGCAAGCCTCCATGCTTTTCCCCACGTCAGCCCCAACCAAAGGTCATTGTCCTTCCATAGCCACCCACAACCAGAGCTGACCGTCTCAGCCCAGGAGGATGCAAGCATTGTGCCAGATCCTGCCCTGCTCAGCACCTCTGCCCACAGACTAGGACAGTGACTAGGGACTAAAGGAGTACGAACACTGATTTTGTATCCCACCTCCTGGATACGAAATTCAGGTGGGATTCATATCCCACCTCCCACCAATCCTTTTCATGGATGACGGCTGAGAACTGGTGACCAGCAAACTCCTCTGCTGTGCTTTGGTGCAGTGTGTGACCAGGACACAGCACCAGAGCTCTGGAGATTTAGATTCCAATCTTGGCTCTGCTACAGCTCCCTCTGTGTCCCTGGGCAAAATGCTTAACCTCTCTCACAGCAGGTTTCCATAGCCGTAAAATAGGAAATAGTGCTGTGCCCTATTTGCAAAGTGCTTTGAGATCCTCGGAGGCACAAGGCTATGGAAGTATTTTTATTAGTAGTGCAAGAAGATATATTGATGGAGGCAGTCAATCCACACCATCCAGGAGCACAACATTCATTTTTTAAGCAATACATAGTTTGCTTTCTGTTCAATGCTAAACTTTTTCCGCTGCTCTGTGCCACACAGAATTTATAAATTCAATGACAGATTAATCTTAGCAGCGAGCCATTTGGCATGAAAAAGGGTTTCACAGGGAGCCTGCTTTTTCCTGTAAAGAGCATGCATTTAGGAGTGACTATACAGAGAAAGACCCTGTGCACTTATTCAAGCACAAGTCTCTGCCCTCCATCATTACTCAGAATTAGAAACCCAGAATGGATTACTCGGATTGTTCCTAAGGTTTGTAGCTTTCTCCGCAGGAGGAGGGTTGGGTAATTGATTTTGACACTAATACCGGCACTATTCATATGCCCTGTAATATAATTCTGCAGCAACACTAAAAAGGCAGCCATCTGAGATCTGAACAAGGAAAGTGCTATATGATTTGCCCTAGACAACCCCAGCTATTTTAACAGCTGCGTTGTATATTAAAAGGGAGAAATCCCAACAGAATTAAAAACAACAAAGTCACATTTGCCTTTGAGGGAAAACAAGAAGCCATAAACTTTCCTAATAAAACAATCCCTCCCGCTAAGTGCTGGAGGAATGGTTGAAAGTGCTGTCCTAAAATGCCTGTCTCCCTCAGAGGGCATCAGCCTGCGTGGGACTGCCAGCAACCTTGGGAATAAACAGATACTCATCACCCATACCCCCCAGCACACCCTCTTCTTGAAAAGGCATTATTTCCTTCTTTAGGATTTTTCTTTCATCAGGGAAAACCCTTTTCCTCCCCTAGACAGAGTAGAAAACATAGATTTCTGTTCCCCAACTTTTCTGTGAAATGTGAAACACCAATTTTGGCCACCTCTCCTCAAAGACTAACTAGCAGCATGGGATTGAGCCTCTCTGCCAGAGGGCAGGTACCACCAGTGAAGTTCTTTACATGGGTCCAATCCTCCAGAAGCCACCACAGTCACCAAATGTTGCCTCCACGCCCAGCAGCCCCATTGGGCTGCAGAAAGAGGCTTCCAAAGGAGGCTTCCAGCAGCCACTGTGCTTTTGTGAATATTTTGGGCTTTTTCAGACCAACATGCATCTTCCCCTTCATTTTAAGTCCACCTCTACCTGACCTTTTCACACACAGTCCTAGCAGTGCCAGCGAGGTGCCATCATCCCCAAGGGGACAGGATGAATGTGTGTTGGCTCCCAATACCAGCACCACCTCCACCGCATCACAGGCAGGATGAAGCTCCATTGCTGCTGGCTCCTGCCATGACCGATGGGAGCTGGGATAACTGAGGGAAGCCTTCACACAGCTCTTGCCAGGTTTGTCCTCATGCATATTTTGCCACATCACTCCCATGCAGGTACAATACTATGTTTGATATCTTCTCCTTGTGTGTTGTGTTAGTTAAGATAAACAGAGATACTCCCATCATCTTTTTTTTTGCAGTGGACTGTGTCACACAGCTAAAGCCTTCTGAATGCATGGTCTGCTTATGAAATTCGGTGTGAGCCAACTGTTTTGAACATTGGCTTAATACAGTGGCTGCTGTGATCCTTTTCAG